CTTAGTAACTGCTGTCAAAAGATCCAATTTCCAGCTCTGCTCTTTGTATGGACTAAGGGGAGGATTAGGCACCATGATTCTGTTCTGTGAAGACTACAATTTGCAGTGGGATTTAGACGAGGAGGATATTCAAAGAAGATTATTTCTTTCATGCAAAGCTAGTGGAAAGGAAAATGTCTTCCATTAATTTTCAATCCTTTAAAAGCAAGACTATATTATATGTTATTAATGGGCATAGTTTTATAAGTCACTCATATTTTTAATTTTATTTAAGTAATTTAGTCACATCAGATTGTTCTTTTGTATACTCAAAAAGCATCAAGATTAGGTAATGAGTTAAAATCAAAATTTATTGCTTTGTCCTTTTGTTCATTTAATGACACTAATAGAACTACTACAACAAATTTCTTAAAAAGTATAGATGCAACAATAGATACTGGAATTAAAATTTTAAAATAGAATGAAGTTGGGAAAACAAACATAAACGGGGGAAAGATCTGCAAATATTTCAAATATCCGAACGGAACATATGGTACCCCCCAGAATGAGGATAACACCTCATACATACTGGCAGTGGTGAGAAGTTGACCTATGGAGAAAGAACTCATTAAGCAAATTAAGAGCAGTGCAAGGTAAATGTTAAAATAATTGAGAATAAACTACTTTCATACATTATAATACCATTCATATGTGAACAAAAAGCAATAGCTTAATATAAAGTCTAGCCCTAACCAGTTTGGCTCAGTGAATAGAGCGTCGGCCTGTGGACTGAAGGATCCCAGGTTCGATTCCGGTCAAGGGTATGTACCTTGGTTGCGGGCACATCCCCAGTAGGGGATCTGCAGGAGGCAGCTGATCCATATTTCTCTTTCATTGATGTTTCTAACTCTCTATCCCTCTCCCTTCTTCTCTGTAAAACAAGTCTAATGGCCCTCTTTATTAACAAAAACTCTTGTCTTTTAGTTTAGGTAATAAAATGGTATACAAAGATATTCTATGAATTAACTATTCAGACCACCATTCTTTAACAAAAATTAATGTTATAATATTTCCCAGTTTCACAAACTATTCTGTTGCAAAACATTTTGAAAAATCTTTAAAACTGAGCATTTAGTCATGAAAATGTGGCTGAAGAAATAGTTAAATGCCAATCTTTTACTTATGAAATTGGCAAAAAAAGTATTTTTATAACATTAAGTGTGGTTGAGAGTCCCAGGAAACTGACACTAAAATGATGGGCTGCTAGCATAAATTGGTTCAACTTTCTAAAGAGGTGGGATCCTATAAATTATTATTATTTTGGCATAAGAGTTTTGGTAGCAGTATTATTAAAAATATTTTAATTATTCATATTTTTACCTTAGCAATCCTGATTCTGAGAATTTATCTTAAGGAAATAACCAAAAGTGTATGTACAATAATAATGATAAGTAAAAATAACCACCACACTCTATCAAGCACATATTACTAGTATATCACAAGACATTGTGTGATACTTTACATAGATTACCATTTAATTCTCATAATAACCCATAAGGCATCTATTACTATTATCTTAATTTTATAGATGAGAAAACAGAGGCTTATAGTCAAGAAATGTGGTGGAGCTGGGCTTCAAATTCATATCTATTTGAAACCTAAGCCCAAGTTCTCAGCCAGTAAAATATAATGCTGCTCTAAGGAAAATCTAATAAGAAAATGGGGACAGTAATTTCCCAAGTTTGGTAGTTCCACAGAATATCATTTATAATTGGGGGGAAACAACCTAAATGTTCAATAAAAAGGGAATGTTTAAATGGATATTACATAGCTATTAAATTAACATAATAGTGAGATAAATTTCTATGACACTGAAAAAAGTTCACAATGGAGGGGCAGGTGGAGGGACTGAGCAAAAGAGAAAAAAATGAAAAAAATAAAAATTAAAAATAAAACCCAGATAAGAAAAAACAAAACAAAACACAAAAGTTCATAATATATTAAGTGAAACAAGGCAGTTTAAAACAGTACATCCAGTGTGATCCCCAATACATAATGTATGTGTAAGTGTGTCTGAGCAGAGAAGAAAACTGAAGGACAAACGTGAACTCATTTTTTTATTTTCTCCTAATTTGGAGGTGGGGTGTGTGTCTGTGTGGTGGGGAGGAGCGCTTACAAAGAAAGAACAGGCCTCTCCAGAATGATAAAAATATTATAAATTATTTGTGCTCTGAAAAAAAAATTAAAAATCTTCCCATCCTCACACTACAAATGAAGAGAAGACAACAGTGGTGGGAGGTAGACTAGAACTGCTTAAGAATGGCATTCATATTTCATTTTTAGAAGCAACCTGAAAAACTTAGCACCTTTAGACTGGTTTGAGCCCTCCGGCTTTTGTCAACCTATCATTAGGTAACAATGTGAAAATTATTTGCAGAGAAAGATTCTGCAATATTTCCAATATAGTTCCAAGACACCTATGCTTCATTCTTTCGCTGTTCTGTACTTTAGTTTCAGGGAATAATATCTTTTCCCCAAGGAAAGCCAAAAAGTTGAATATGTATATATTATACTGCTGAAACATAAAACATTTTTGTAATTTTAAGGGTGCATGGAAGATCCAGACAGTGAATCATGAATTGAAACCATGTTGAATAAGCTTGTTTAGACACTTATTTTCATATTCCTTAGACTTCTACTCATTTAAAACTCTGCCTTGAAAGGCTTCAACAATTTAAAGATTAAATCATAAGTTATTAAGCCATTAATTTAACCATTTAAGCCTCTAAAATCAGCACATATTACCTTCCCCCCTCAAGTCAATTTGCAAGAGATTAAAATAATAAAAATGATAATATCTCACACTTACAAAGCAGCTTTGATCTGCAGGAGTCTAAAGTACTTTTTAAAAACTTTTATAGAAAAACTAGGACCATCCACTCACATCTGAGACAGAGGCTTGTAGCTGGTGAAAAGCAATGGAGTAATTTATAATTTGTACAGAAGATGACCATTTTTAAATTTTTTTACTTTAAAAAAATAGTTTTAAATTGATTTATAGAGACAGAGGGAAGGAGAGGGAGAGAGAGAAACACCGATGTGAGAGCAAAACATAGATTGGCTGCCTCCTGCACTACCCCTACCGTGGATCAAGCCTGAAAACGGGCATGTGCCCTGACCAAAAATCAAATCAGCAACCGTTCTGTGCACAGGATGATGTTCAACCAACTGAGCTACACCAGCCAGGGCAGAAGATGACTACTTTTGCCAAGTATAAGGAATAGATGGAGTTAGAGACATGCCAGTAGAATTAGCTGTTCAATTAAAAGGAAAATTAAATGACCACAGATTCCAAGCGCTATTATTTAAATTCTCACCAAAGGATATGGCTTAAGGGTTCCCTTTAGAGGGAGGGGGAAAAAAAACACTAACAAAAAACAACAACAAAGAAAACTAACCCCTATTTACATCAAGGAAATGATGGTCTCATGATTTTGTCCAGATTTTCTTGAGAATATATACTACTGGTTTCACCTCAGGCAGAATAAATTGACTATGGTACTTAATTCTTTTGGTATCTGAAAACATTTCCTTCTCTTTCATACTCAATTTCAAATATCTTTATATAGAATATTTTTAATTTATCGAATTTAGAGAGAAAGAGGAAGAGGAAGTGAGGGAGAGAAACATTAATTTGTTTTTCCACTTAGTCATGCATTCATTGGTTCCTTCTTATATGTGCCCTGACCGGAGATGGAACCCACAACCTTGGTGTATCAGGATGATGCTCTAACCAACTGAATGACCTGGCCAGGGCTCTTTATATAGAATACTTATCTTCACATTTCAGTGTATAGAGCTGGAATCCTGCCCCAAGCTCTGTTTTCTCTATCCATTTCAAGCACCCTACACAAATAATTTTCTGCCTCCTGCACTAACAAGACACTAACTTTTCAAACATTTTTTTTTGAATATGCTTGTCTCTTTCCTAAAGAAAAACTGAAGTAATTCTATCCTATGTCTTTATAAAGTGAGGGCCTCTGAGCACCGTAAAAGAACACTTGAGCTATCTTCACTGGGTAGCACTTCAATTCTCAAGAATCCTTTCCTTGACTCTGATTTTCCCACATCTCTTTAACTTAGAGTCAGTTCTTATCTTGAAAAGATCAAGAATGAAAAAAAGGATAGAAGTAAATTAATACTTCAATTAGATACAAAATAAAATTTCTTCACTATCTGGGAGCATACATAATCAGTATCAATGGAAACACTGGCTACTAAGTGAGATTACACAGTCATTAAGAGTCTTCATCATTGCTTTTTGTTGTTTTTTAAAAAGCAGTCACCTTCTATCCTAGATGTCTCACATGACACTTGCTTGAATGTACGAGAGATGGACCAGATGGTCCTTTCAGCTCTAGAAGTCTATTCTATGTTGCAATAACTCACTGATGGCTCAAAGCAGCCATACTGAGAAGATGACGAATGGCAGCGGAGAAAGGAAGAAGGATGAGGACTGCATTAAGTTGTCAAGTAGATGTGATTATCTAATACACTGCCATCCCTTTGCGGGGGGCTGGGGGGGGGTTGAAAATATCTTTCCAATGGTACACTTCTGTACACAGTCAACTTAATTGACCTCAAATAGTTTGACTTTTGTATATTGATGAAAGAACTTAAGAATTTGGGCCACTCTACTCAAACACTCTTAACTAGGATCTTTCCTTTCAATCAAGTCAATACAAACTTAAGAAATGAAAATTAACCATTATATGTATAAAACAAAGCATAATCTGAAAGATAAAATAACAATGCATTATAAAGTTAAATATCTAATATAGTTGCTGTTTCTTCCCAAATTTTGCTGATAATCTAGTTCCACTCGAAAAGAACATAGTTGCTATGGCATATACACACACACACACACACACACATACACGTACAAAGATAGATATATATGTACATATGTACACACACATCTAAGAGATATGAAGTTAAAATGAAAGTAAAAATCTTAATACCTTCTTCATGGACTGACACTTGGCTGTCTCAGAAAAGCCAATCATCTTATCAGGAGAACAGATCTTGATGAAGGGGAAGTTGGATTCCTCTGCAATCTTTGCAGCTAATGCAGTCTTCCCACTGTGAGGAGGGCCTGCATAAAGATATGAGCAAGTCAGGGGAAAAAAGCCAACCTAAGCAAAGGGAAATAAAACAAGTTTAAACTTTTATCCACAAGGTACTGAGGTCTCAACTAGTTGCTCATTAACATATCCTGACACAATTTCATGGCAGACATGTTTTCTCTTATTTATTAGCAACTAAACTTAATGAACTGATTAGCATTTCTCAAAAGTATGATGAAATACATTCCTTCTCTCTTTCTCACATAGTCTTAATCTTTCAAACTTCTGCCTAAATATATAAAACACAAGGGTTTTGCTTCTTAAAAAAGGAGTGCATTCAAATACATATCAGTATTTATGTTTAGTTCTACCAAATTATTTGTCTAACGAAACAATACAATTTTAGGAGATGATTGTGGGGGCAGGGAAAACTGCCTTATTAGAAGCAAATGTGACTTAAAAAGCTAGAATTCAAAAGACTCAGGCCTTCTAAAGACTCAGGCCACCAAATCTACAAACTTACTTGAATTTATACATCTTCTTCTTCCCTTCTGTGTAATGAAAGATGTGTCCCTCTTCCACCCATAAACCAATCAATTCTTCCTTCCCATCTTTTCAGAAACCCAACATTATTAATAGTACCCTCTCCCCCATATCTTCCATCTCTTCCTCTTCACACACCTCAACACTACTCTCTTCTTCCTTCAAAATGGAACTTCCCTAAATAATTATCTGCTCTGGTTGCCTTCACTCTTCACCTTCCATCCACTCTCAAACAAATGCTATGGCTTCCATTCCCATTACATGGAAAGGCTCCCATCAGGATCACCAATGACTTCCATGTCATCAAATCTAACAGATAATTTATCTGTTGGCCTCTTAAGAATAATTGATACAATTGATAACTCCCCTCTTTCTTTAAATACTTTTCTTGGATTCTATGATAGCATATTCTCTTTCCCCCTACTCCTACCTCTCTGGTTACTCTTGCTCAGTCTCCTTTGTCAACTTTGTTCTTAAATGTTGACACACTTCAGAGATCAGTTCTAGGCCCACTTTTCTTCTCAATCTATACTCTTTCTGTAAGTGACTTCTTCCACTCCCATGGATTCAGCAACAGTCAATACACTGACAACTCATGAATGTATACTGTAGCCAGACTTCTCTTGGAGCACCAGACCTACATATAATAGGCTACTTAACATTTCCGATTCAATTATTCTGTAGGAACCTCAAACTCAAAGTGCTCTGAACTCATGATCTTCTTTCCCAAATCTTTCCACTAATGCTCCCAATCTTAGAAACAGGCATGTAGACTAGAAACCTGGGGATTGTATTTGATATCTTTCCCATAGTACATCTAGTTACTTAATATTTCTAAGCCTCAGCTTCTCTACAAATAGGGATAACAGCAGCATCTATCCTTAGGACTGAAGTGGGTTTAAATGAGGTAATATGTGTAAAGTGCTGGTAGAGTGACTGGCAAAAGTAAGAGTTCAAAGAATTATAGCTTAATTTATTAATAATTATAATAATAATATGGTCTCTTTTATTCTACCTTCTAAATATTTTTCAAAATGGTTTACTTATCTCCATCTCCACTACCATTGTTACTTCAAACTACAATCAAATTACAACTAAGGCTAATGCAACCAGTGGTAACCATTGGTCTCTCCTGTGTCTTTTTTTGCCCTTCCAGCAACTAGTCAAGTACTCAGTGAATATTTATTTAACTGAATTCAGCGCTATTTGGTATTACAGTCTATTAAGTAACATAGAAATTTAGATACAATCCTATAAGAAAATGAGTTGCTATCATTCATCAGTAACATTCTGTCCTCAGTAGGACTTGAAATGCACAATTATTGGTACACATATACTGGATTACTATTTGCAGACGATGAACAGTACTAGAAATGAAAATAATTCATTTTTCTGGAATGTCCTAAATGGCTTTATAAAAGTACTGTTTTGTTTTTTTAACTTTTAATGCCATCTTATCATTTCTTCTCACCTTCCAACAGGACGCTAACCAATGGTGTGCGGTCACTGTTTTTCATCTGCTGGACCAGCAGCTCTCCATCATCTAGAACTCGAGTAACTGGATCACCCCATTTGATAATACCATTCATAATGTAACTTGCATAATCCTCTTGGTTTGTGCCAAATGCCTATGGAAGAAAAGGACAGTTTAAAACATTTTGAGCATATAAAAGATGCCCAAAATACTTTATTCCTACACAATAAAAATGTTGAGCAATATCCCATATCAATATAAAAAGCCTGAAAACCACACCAAAAGACCTCCATTGTTTTATAATTTTGCATTTTACTTTTTATCAAATTGGGGAGGGGAGGAGCTGCTTTGGGTGACTTAATGGAGAAACAACAGATTCTAGGCTCAGATTCTACCAGAGCCCAAGCTGTCATAACCCCTGAGAAAGGGTATGTCCCTATGTGCTTAGTTCTATAAGGAGTACATGGCTCTTGCCTTCTGTTAAGAACAAAGGGAAAAAGAGATTATGGACTCAGAAGACAAAGACACGATCCTAACTCTGACTGTAGTGTCATGGATTAAAATGGGAATGTAAAATGATAATGAGGAGATCCTGTCCACATCAGTTTGGTGGAAGGGGTTACAAGTTAAATGGCACCAAGGTAAGTGTATATGTGTAAATATAAGATTTTAAATGAGACAAGAATGAGCAGTTGTAATGAAAGATTGAAGGGTTAGGAAAATAAAATAAAAGCAATTATTATATGTAATAATTTTAATTGTTCTCACTACATATTGGAGTTTAAATCACATTTCTCTTCATTTTCAACTTCTAATCTAATATTGGAACTCCTATCAAACCAGTTGCCAAAAGTAGTCAATAACTTTAGTACTTAGTTACTTAACTGAATTTTCATAAGGTTAAAAGGAAAAGAAATGAGTAGGAAGACATAACCCAATGTAATGTAAAGGTCCTATGTCATGAGAATTTTAAGCTATTATATCCTTCAACAAGTTAATTTTTCACTACCCCGATGTATGGAACAATTTTAACTCTTCTTTAGAACTTGCACCTCACAAAAAATTATTCTTTGTAATGTCTCTAAACAGTATAGAACAGTCTCATTACTCTATTTCTTTGCTACTCAATCATTTCTCAAACTTCTCTTTGGTCCTTGCATACACTAGTCCTTTGATTCCTGAGTACAAAGGGAAATCCTCATTGCCTGGTCTGGATATAGTGCATTCAGTGGCCCTCTAAAAAGTTATAAAGGGAGAGCCTAATAAATACTGCTATACGAAATATGTAGCTTGGCTGACTTTTATCTTTAATTATTCCAAGTATACACTCTAAGTCTTACAGCAGCAGCTTTAAGATACCTTTAACCAGGAAACAGGCTACACAATATGTATGAGTCTTCCTTACTTATCCCGCCACTTCATTTTTGTTTTGTGCCCCAGACTCATGGAATAATTTTAAGAAACTTATTACCTACTTAAGTTAGTTATCTTAGTTTCCCCTTTCTTGTAGTCAAATTATAAAAAATCTTGAAATAGATCAGTTAGGCTGGGTTCTAATATCTTTGGTATCTATTACAAATGACAACAGCAAAAGATTAACCATTTCTATTGCTCAGTAACTTTTGAAAGTAAATATTTATATTTAAAAGTCATAATAGTAATAAAAAATAGAGCTAGTAAAACAAATTGATTTTTGTCTTTAAAAGAAATACTTGCAACAAATAATTATTGTCAAAAATATATAAAGAACTTATACAGATAAAATAAAAATAAAGACTAAACAATAGAAAAAAATAGGCAAAGGCATGAATAGCATCTCTTGAAAGACACTTATATGGCCAATAAGTACATGGAGAAATGCTTACCTTCGTAAGTAATCAGTGAAATGCAAATTAAGACCAAAATGAGATCCCATCTTACAGCCAACTGAATGGCAAAAATTAAATCTGACCATACCAAGTGTTGTAGAGGATATAGAGTGACAGGATCTCTTTTACAATATTGGGGAAGGTACTTATTGGTTCAACCACTGGAAAAAGTTTAAAATTCTTACGTTTGAAGTGAGACATTCATATACCCAACAAACCAAGAATTTTATTCCTTAATATATATCTAAGAGAAACTTGTTTAAGAATGCTCATAGCAGCACTTGCTAGTAATATAAAAACCTGGTAATGTCCCAAATGTTCATTGATAAGAAAATAGATAAATTGTGGTAGTCACACAATGCAATGCTCTTCAGGAATGAAAATGTCTAATCACTACGATATACATATGAAACTAATATAAGATTTTATAACATCTGTAATTGGAAAATTGTTTTTAATTGAAAAAAAGAAAATGAATGATGTATAGCTACAGAAAATCATATGGATGATTCTTGGTTATAAAATATGCAATAAAATAGCAATTCCCCCAAAATTACATGCATCGTACTTTATTTTATACCCCATGTAGACTAATGACAACAGTGTGTCACAAACTAAAGATTAAGATTAATCCAATTCTGTGCACCTGAGATCCATTTTTAAAAGAAAACCAAACATACACACCTCTTTAAGAGGCCTTTCTGCACTTTGTTTTTTGTACTAGTATAGGACTCCAAACAATGGCTACTCAATGAAGAGTAAACAAACATTAGTGGTTATTTTATAGAAAAACTAGAGGCCTGGTGCATGAATTTGTGCACCAGTGGGGTCCCTTGGCCTGGCGTGCAGGATCAGACCGAAACTGGCTCTCTGAGATCCCCTGAGGGGTCTCAGATTGTGAGAGGGGCGCAGGCCAGGCCAAGGGACCCAACTGGTGCACAATCGGGGCCAGGGAAGGACGTGGGAGGTTGGCCAGCCAGGGAGGGATCGCGGGAGGGCTCCATGGTGTGTCCAACCTGTCTTGCTCAGTCCTGATTGCCTGGACCCCAGCAGCAAGCTAACCCACCAGTTGGAGCGTCTGCCCCCTGGTGGTCAGTGCACATCACAGTGAGCGGTTGAGTCGACTTAGCATATAATTTGCATATTATGCTTTGATTGGTTGAATGGACGACCAGACACTTAGCATATTAGGCTTTTATTATATAGGACTAGAGGTCTGGTGCACAAAAATTTGTGCACTCGGCTGGAGGGATCCCTCAGCCCTGCCTATGCCCTCTTGCAGTCTGGGACCACTTTGGAGGTTGTCCACCTGCCGGCCT